AGAGGCCCGGCTTGAGCCCACATTGGGGCAATCCGGAAGCCTCCCGGGGCCTCCTTGAAACAATTTTGGTTGGCCCCGTGTACGTCTCCTGTGAGCCTTTTGTGGCCTGGTGGGGGGCTTTGGCGGGCCTCGTCGAACCACTGGGGGACTCTTGGGGCCTCCTGTGGGCCTCTTAGGGCGAAAGGCTCTGCTGTTGGGTTCGCGTTCACCTTCTTGGGGCTCTCTTGGGGCCCTCTTGGGGCCCTCTCGGGCCGTCTTGGGCACCTCGGGCACCGTCTTGGGGCCCTCGTGGGCCGTCTTGGGGCCCTCTTGGAGGCCTCTGCAGTCTTGGGGGCCTCTTGGGCCGTCTTGGAGCGTCGGGAAGCCAAAAGGCTGGGAACTTTTATCCATCAAAAGCCGATGGGAAAACATTGCTTCTTGGAACCTCTTCGGCCTTCTGGGGAGCTTCTTGAGGGCCTCTTGGGTCCCATTTGGGGGCCTCTGGGGCTTCCTGAGAGCCTCTCGGGGTGGAAGGCTCGGATTTTCGGTTCGTCTTACCCCTCTTGGGCCCCCCCTGGGGCCGTATTGGTGCCCTCTCGGGTTGTCTTGGGCCCTGTTGGAGGCCTCGTGGGCTATCTCGGATTGGTCTTGGAGGCCTTTTGGGCCGTCTTGGAGCGTCAGGACGCCAAAAGGCTGAAAACTCGAGCATCAATCAAACACCTACGGCAAGACATGGATTTGTGCCTCTTGGGGCCTTCGTGAGAGGCCTCTTGGATACGCTTCGGCCCCCTGGGGGGGCTTCTTGGGGCCTGTTGGAGCCTGTTAGGGCTTCTCGGGGCCTCCTGAGAGCCTCTCGGGATGGAAAACTCGGATTTTCGGGTCGTGTCAACCCTCCATCTTGGGGCCGTGTTGAGGCCCTCTCGCTCCGCCTTGGACGCCTCTGGCGCCGTCTTGGGACCCCCGTGGGCTGTCTTGAGACCGTCTTCGAGGCCTCTGGGGATACCTTGGAGCGGAAATTGAAGTATCTTGGGCCGTCGTGGGGCGTCAGGAAACTCAAAAGGCGAGAACTCGAAAATCGATCAAAAACCAAAAAGGAAAACAAATTAGTTGTGCCTCCTGGGGCTCCTTGGGAGCCATCTTGGAGACCTCTTGGGGCGTCTTGGAAGCCTCTTGGACAGTCAGGGACCAATTCAGGGGTGATCTCGGGCGGTCATTGGTCGTGTTCGTTGTCTGGAAACGCCATTTCTGGCAATCCAGGGCTGTCTTCTGGCGACTTTACAAGGCCCCCAGCGCCATGGCAGGGCCCCCGGGCCTCCCGGCGCGAGGGCCCCATCCCGGGCCCCACCTCGTGCCCGCGGCAGGCCGTCCTTGGGCCGTCTCGGCGCCCTCGTGGGCCGTCTCGGCGCCCTCGTGGGGTGTCTGAAATCCATCAAAAATCGAAGGACAATCAATGATTTTGGCGTCCCTTTGGGCCGTGTTGGAAGCCTTGTGGGCCGTCTGGGGGCCATCTTGGGCGCGTTCGAACGATATGTCCTCGTTTCGGGGCCTCCTGGGGGCCTCTTGCGGCCCTTTTCGTTTGTCTTGGGGCTTTCTTGGGCCGTGTGGGGGCGGCCCTGGGCTGTCTCGGCGCCCTCTTGGAAGCCTGTTTGGGAGATTTCTGGGTGTCCTGGACCGTCCTCCTTCAACGTCGGCGGCACTGACCGTACGACTTCCTGGGAACATGATTTGTTGGGGTGTCGTTGGGCGCCTCCGGAGGCTTTGGAACCTGACGCGTTTCCGAGCGTGACGGAAGGTAGTGCTGCTTGGGGCTCTCATGTTTTTCCAGGAAAGGGCCTGGGCCCAGGGTTATCTTTTAGATGGTCTTCCCCTCGGTTTTTACTTGAAGGGGGCCGGCGGAATTCTTGTGCGATAAATTACGAGGTCGAAGGGGGGCGGCGGATTTCAATTGTGAGGACGAAGGCCATTTTTCGCCACCCCTCACGCAGATCGTGCTCTTGGAATTTTACTGCCTTTAAGGAAACCTCGATATTTCACAGGTGAAGTCCACTTTTTCCGACATCGACTTTAAACGATAAAAAACGAGGTAAACGCGTTCGCTCGATAAATCACGAGGTACCGCGGCCTCCGGAACGCCGCTGGGAACTGAGTTTTGGATTTTTGAAGTTGCATAAGTTCGGAAATAGCAGAAATCCCCTGTGTTTTTTTGACCCTGACCCCGCCGATCTGCGTGAGGTGTGGCACGGAATACCAGAAATGTTTCAAATCCCCTGTGTTTTTGGACCCTGACCCCGCCGATCTGCGTGAGGGGTGGCGCGGAATTCCAGAAATGTGGCAAATCCCATGTGTTTTTGGACCCTGACCCCGCCGATCTGCGTGAGGGGTGGCACGGAATAATGTGGCAAATCCCCTGTGTTTTCGGATCTTGACTCCGCCGACCTGCGTGAGGGGTGGCACCGAATGTCAGAAATGTGGCAAGTCCCATGTGTTTTCGGACCTTGACTTCGCCCAGGAGGGCCCAGGAGGCTCCAGGAGAGCCCAGGAGAGCCCAGAAGGGCCCAGGAGAGCCCAGGAGGGCCCAGGAGGACACAGGAGGCTCCAAGAGGCACCAGGGGGCCCAAGGAGGGCCCAGGAGAAGCTCCAGGAGGCTCCAGGAGAGCCCAGGAGGGCCCAAGAGGTCCAAGGAAGATCCAGGAGGGCCCAGGAGCCCTTACGAGGGATCGTGGCCCTGGGAGCGCTGACGTAGCGTAAATTAGGAGGGATCGTGGCCCTGGGAGCGCGGGTGTAGTGTAATTTACGAAGGATCGTAGCCCTGGGAGCGCGGACGCAGTGTAATTCAGAATTTGTTGAGGATGTCTTGAGCAAAACGCTGGTTTTGCAGAGTTGGGGATGTCTCGATCTCGAGCGAAACGCTTGTTTTCAGAATTTGTTGAGGATGTCTCGAGCGAAACGCTGGTTTTGCAGAGCCGACCGCGACGCGGAAAAGCGCCCCGCGCGCAGGAATTCCGATGATGTTTCGCGCGTGCCGCGTCCCGCGCGCAGGAAGTTCGAGGATGTCTCGATCAATTATTTTGTTGTGCGAGGATTTCCTTGAATTTTGGCAGGATGTCTCGAGCGAAATGCTTGTCTCTCATACTTTGTTGAAGACGTTTCGAGCGAAACGCTGGTTTTGCAAAATTGGGGGGCCTCGTGGGGGGCCTCGTGGGGTCCAGAATTCAGAGGATGTCTCAGGCGAAATGCTTGTTTTCACGTCCCGCTCGTAAGAATTCCGAGGATGTCTCGCGCGTGCCGCGTCCCGCGCGCAGGAATTCTGAGGATGTTGGCAGGATGTCTCGAGCGAAACGCTTGTCCCCAGCACGTTCCGTAGCGCGTCCCCTTGGCACGTCCCGCGGTGCGTCCCCATGGCACGTCCCTTGGCACGTCGCTTGGCGGGTCCCTTGAGACGTTCCGCGTCGCGTCCTCCTGGCATGTCCCTTTGTCAATTAGCTCTGGGGCAGCTACTATGTGTTCAGGCAGCTCGAGCTTAAGATCCAGATCAGTTCGGTCAGGACTCGGATGCAAAGGAGGACTCGATCCACGACACAATCGCGTTCGCACGCGGCATCGCAAGGCACAGCACAGCACATATTTCGGCACGGTACATCAAGATCGATACACTCAGCATTGCATTTTGGCACGTTCCTTGGCACGTTCCGTGGGGCGTCCCTTGGCGAGTCCCCCTGGCACGTCGCGTGGCGCGTCCCCTGGCACATCCCGTGGCACATCCATTGGCACGTTCCGTAGCGCGTCCCCTTGGCACGTCCCGCGGTGCGACCCCATGGCACGTCCCCTGGCACGCCGCCTGGCGCCATCCCTTGGGACGTTTCGCGGCGCGTCCTCCTGACATGCTCCCTTGGGCAGCTACTATGTGTTCAGGCAGCTCGAGCTTAAGATCCAGATCAGTTCGGTCAGGACTCGGATGCATCGAGGCTATAGAGCACAATCGCGCCATGGCACATCGCAATTCAGCACGGTGCAGCACAGCACAGCCCTCGGCAGGGTACATCAAGATCGATACACTCAGCATTGCATTTGCCCGTCACCCAATCATGTGTCTTTGAAAACGCTGCCATGTGGTACAGTGCTATATTCCTTTCCGGGTTCGTGGGTCGATCATGTTCCACCCTGAACCCGCCGATCTGCGTGAGGGGTGCCACCGAATGTCAGAAATATCAAGAATTTTATGTGTTTGGACACTGACCCCGCCGGTCTGCGTGAGGGGTGCCACCGAATGTCAGACATGTGCCGAATCCCTTGGGTTTTTGGACCCTGAACCCGCCGATCTGCGTGAGGGGCGTCAGCAGATTTCAGAAATGTGGCAAATCCTTTGTGCTTTTACACCCTGACCCCGCCGATCTGCGTGAGGGGTGCCGCCGCATTTCAGAAATGTGGCAAACCCCTTGTGTTGTTAGACCCTGACCCCGCCGATCTGGGCGAGGGGTGCCACCGAATGTCAGAAATGTGGCAAATCCCTTGGGTATTTGGACCCTGACCCCGCCGATCTGCGTGAGGGATGTGAATTTTTACCCACCCCAGCAATTCAGACAATACGAGTTGGGCGTGGTAAAAGTGCCCGTTTTGGGCCTCCCCCCCTCGCGCGGTCCATCAACAAGGAACAGTAAGCAGCAAGAAGTCAACAAGGAACAGTAAGCAGCACGAAGCAGGTCTGTAACAGTGGAAACTGGAAGCTGCAACTGGTACAGGAAACTGCGAAGCTTCGTCCTACAGCCTGGTGGCCCCACAAGGGGGCCGGCGGATTTGTCCGCGACGTCGGGGGTCTGGACCATGTGGTCCCCGAGGAGGGTTACAATGGGGGCCCATGCCAAGAAGCACCCTGCTTGCCTCCAGGGTGCCCTGGGTTTCCTGGGTTTCGATGCATGGCGAGCGTGACGTTCCCACCCCAAACATCCATGGACGTCCCAGGGCCTCAGGGCTTGGTTTCTTGCGAAAGGCTTCTTGTAGATTGGCCTCATCTGTACCGCCAGGCACTGTCCGCGACGCTCGAGATGTCCCCGCCCGGCATCGACGAGGCCACCGGCCGGCCCTCTCTTTTTGGGGCTCTCCGCGCGCCTTCTGGGGGCAGCGGATGCCCCGTAGGGGCTTGGTTTCCCCTCCGGGGTGCCTCGTGGCACAGCTTGGACTGTAAGCATGAGCTGTTAGAGGTCAGGTCCGAATCCGATATCTTGTCGCTTGCTGCTCTTCGAGGCCCAGTGCAACATGGGTCATGATTGGGAGGCTGTCGCTTTCTAGCCGTGGACGACGACAACAGTCGCGGCGGAAGTTCTTTTCTGTTCTTGTTCGGCCTTCGGGGGGACCCTCACTGGTCCCAAGGGCCGTCAAATATTATTCGGTTCAGGATGATGGACGGGCTCCAGGGAAGGGTTCGACATTTCCAGGGTTCTACTCGGGACGATCGACCTTGGCGCAAAAAAAAACGGGTACGATGCCCAACAGCAGTTCTTGCTCATGTAGGACTCGCTGTCCGCGCCCCCGCGGACGTCGCTCTTTGAAGTGCACAAGCTTCCCGCCCAACAGCGGCCGCTGTCGGTGCGGTATCAGTATCATGCGACGGCGCGTCTAGGGGGGAAGGCAGAGGGGGCGGGCGGGCCTTCTCAGAAGGCTCAGGAGGCATCTGGCCTTCTGAGAAGCCGTCTGAGCCGTCTCCGAAGCCACTGAGGGCTTCTCAGAAGGCGGGAGGGCTTCTGAGGAGCCCCGACGCCTTCTTAGAAAAGGCCCGACCCCTCTCACTTTCCCCCTGGCGCGACACCGACCCCTGTCGGGGTCTTGAAAGACGGTCTTTCACGCGCTTCCCGTTTATGTCAAGAAAGGTTTGGTGGGAAGCACGCTTGCACTCGAAGAGTAGTCGCGCGATGGACATCTTCTACAGTCCCAGAGGGACGCGTTTATGAATTGGTGTGGTCAAGGAGGAGAACGACTCGCTATTGCTCCCAGGTTCGGTGTGATGGGATTGCGAAAGTAGTCGCTTCGACTGAGTCGTTCTCACCAAATTTAAAGGTTGGAGGTTCTCGTTGACGACGTCCTATGTTATATATGAAACTTTCGCCTGAGACATTCTCAGACACATGGAAATGTTGGAATCGCTGGCGTAATCTGCGGATCTTCGAAAACGAGGCTCTCCCTTGAGACATCCTCGAAACACATTGATGCTGAACAAGATGGTTTAAGACGCCTCAAATTGAAGATGAAGCTTTTGCTCAAGTCGTCCTCATAAAGTCGGCATCGATTGCGAAGCCTTCGGATCGTCCAAATGAGGCTCTCGCCTGAGACATCCTCGAATCAACTTGATGCTGAAAGAGATGGTTTCAGACGTCCCAGGTTGAGATATCTTCAGAAAGTTGAGATGTCAAAACTGCTTGCAAAACCTTCGTACCGTCGAACATGAGGCCCCCAGATAGGATTAGGGTCCAGGTTTAGGGTCAGGGTTCAGGTTTAGGGTTAGGGTTACGGCATCGGGTTTTGGTTGTGCTTAGGGCTTAGGGTCAGGGTCAGGGTCAAACTACCCTCCCCGCGCGCAAGCCGTCTCGCTCTCACCCGCCCGCCCTGCCAGCACACAAGCAACACCCGAGTCTCAGAATATCGCCTGCGCGCGGCAGGTGATGTGCCGGCACCCCCGCGACCCAGTCGGGTATGGCCAGGACCCCAGGTAAGGGGACCCGGTTAGTGGTAGGGCCCCGGAGCTTTTGAATCGGCCAGAATCACTAAACCAGGTTTGCCATAGCTGGTGTTTTTTCGGGTGACGGCAGTTCCGGTTAGTGGAATGGGGCGGGGGGGCGCCCCCGGTACAGGTCTTTTAACCAGTTTCCACTAAACCCAGTTCTGCCAAACGCCCGACCCAGGTCAACAGACAATGCAAAGAGGTCGCGGGGCGCGCGAGCATGCTCCAGAGTTGGAGGCACAGTTTATTATGTATTGTTTATGTTCCCCACATGTTTCGTGGGGTCCTGGTTTTCTTCCCTGCCGCGCCGCACCCGCGTCTTCCTCATCCGCCTCCCTCTCCTTCTCCCTCTCTTCACACACACACAGACACGCACAGACATCACCTGCGCAGCACAGCACAGCATAGCACAGCAAAGCACAGTACAGCAGACCGCAACACAGCACAGGACAGCACAGCACAGCACAGCATAGCTCACAGCACAGCACGCCCCAGTCGTCCAGGGCATAGCAGGCGTGGCACTTTCTCGACACCATAGGTGGTGCGCACAGGGTGTGGTCTCTCCCTGTTCGCGCCGGTCGTCCAGGGCATAGCAGGCGTGGCACTTTCTCGATTCCATAGGGGGTCCGCAAGGAGTGGTCTTCCTATCCGCGCCAGTCGTCCAGGGCATAGCAGGCGTGGCACTTTCTCGACACCATAGGTGGTGCGCAAGGGGTGGTCTCCCTGTCCGCGCCGGTCGTCCAGGGCATAGCAGGCGTGGCATTTTCTCGATTCCATAGGGGGTCCGCAAGGAGTGGTCTTCCTATCCGCGCCAGTCGTCCAGGGCATAGCAGGCGTGGCACTTTCTCGACACCATCGGGGGTGCGCAAGGAGTGGTCTCTGAGCGCGGCCGCCATCCACGACACTGTCGCAAAGCCTTGCAGGCGTAGCAGTCTAACGACACCATAGTGGGTGCGAACTGGGTGGTCTCTGAGCGCCACCGCAGGGGGCACCAGACAGCATGGTCTCGGTGGTAGTAGTAGTGCGGTTCACGCAGGACAGAAAATGAATATGTGGGGTTCCTCGGTAGCGTAATTGACAGGGGTGGTTGGCCTCGCACGGTAAGCAATATGCTGGCACCCCCGTCGTCCTTGTTAAAAAAAGCAGTGTGAAGTGATCGTGGAGCGCCCGCGCATGCTCTTGATTTGAAGGCAAAGGGTATGTTGTATTGTTTCTGATGATATGGATGTTTGTTTGGCCTGCGTGCGGCAAGCAATATGCTGGCACCCCCGCCGTTCCTGCGAAAAAACCCATGCACAGTGGTCGCGGCGCGCCCTCGCATGCTCTGGATTTGATGCAAAGCGCATTTTATATTTTTCTGTTGACAGGAATGGTGGAGAGGGTTTCCGCATGGGTCCTGGTTGGCTGCCAGTCGTGTGGGGGAGGGGGCGTTCATCAATAGGGGGCAGTGATGAAGTCTCGGGGTAGGGGTTAGGGCTAGGGCTAGGGTCAGGGGCTCGGGTGTAGGGTTTGGGCTAGGATGTAGGGTTAGGGCTAGGGTCAGGGGGATTAGGTTTATCATGAAGGTTTGGGGATTAGAGTCAAGAGTCACATTTCAGGGTTAGGGTTAGGCCTGCCCAGTTTAGTTCATGACCCTTTTGGTGCACAATCCATCTCCGAACTGTCCCCGATGAAGATAGGGCCCATGACTCCCAGTATGACAGATGCCCATTGCACTCTAACAGAACCCGAGGTGGGAGGCCCCAGAATCTCGTCATCTAGATGAGTGAGCGCAACCTTCAAAAGTAGCAAGAGCATCATTACACGCCCATTCCGTAGCAAGTTAGGCTTTAAGTATTCGTTCCACGCTCTTCAAGCTTGAACAACTCCAAAGTAGCAAGGGCATCATCAGTTTTCTTTTCACGCTGGCAATTTCATTTCTACGGTTCAGCCATGCCATCTGTCGGCACTCAACCTGGGAACAACTTTTAACACGCTCTTAGTATTCTACCATGCGAATCCAGGGTTTGAGAACATGGCCCAGGTAGATATTCATGTATTTGAAGTTGACATGTTTGACTAGCTATTCACACAAGGCGGCTGGAATGGCGACGTGGGCCGATGGGGTTCACAATAGCGGAGCTCTGCTTGCGGGGTCTCAAGCGGAATCGCTTGACAATATGATTGAGACATTTTCGGAGTTGTCAATTGTAGACGCGCCGCTATGGGGTGGGACCACGGAACCTCACTTGAGTGACCAAGTTGTTCTTCGCCAGTTCTCAGAATTGGGTCTTCGAATTGCGCGCAAGCTCACTGCTCTGCCAGCGTCGTTCAATTCCCGACCGCACCCATCGACAAAATACTGGCAGAGCCGAACCAAACGGTAACACTGGATTCGCTTTACAGTTCCGGATCCTTACCCAGATGCACAAAAGGGCGTTCGAGGATCGAGCACAGTCGGGAAACACACACACACATATATATATATATATGTATATATAGATATGCTTGTAGCGCAGCAGCGGCAGCAACACTTATGGAACACCCAACTCTCCGATCATCAAAACTTTACAGCCACCGCTTTCAGATTTGGGAAACCCTTGTACGCAAAGCGCAGTTGTTTCTTGGGTGCGCCAGAATTACCCTTGGGTTGTGACCAGCGAGGAAGGTGACACTCGATGAAGCGCATGCTGCTTTCGCGGCTGCTCAGAGTCGTTTCTGAAAACGCAGCCATCATTCATCGTGTCACGCATTGCATTTCTTTGCGCCTTTTGTTCTGACGTGGGAATTCGTGCGGAGCGTGGCACGAGCAGAGGCCGCCACCATCCTGTGAAGAGGACGAGGGGGTTGGGGGTGGTGGATCTAGGATTCGGCGCGATTCTTGCATGAGACCTGGTCACTATTTCTTCTTTCAGGGTGGCACGCAATCTTTCGTGTCGACAATTTGTTGGTACGAATTTGGCGCGCCGGCACTCGATTGCCCCTGGACGCGCAGGTTGAAGCGCAGCGCGTGTTCTCCCCAGCTGGGGGTTCCAGAGGTTATGCCTTGTTTCCCCCCGGTCGTGGTTTCCAGGGGTTCTGTCGTGCTGTCCCTTGGTTCCCCCCACTGGGTCGACCACGGGGCGTGGTGCTGCTTGTCCTTGTGCTGTTGGTTGATCGCCCTCGTCCCTCCGTCCTCCTCCGTCCCGGTGGCTTGCAATGGTGGTGGGTGCCGATGCAGCTGCTGCCGCTCGCCACTGCGCCGTGAAGCGAGGGGGTCCTGCGGGGAACGGTTCCCGAGGCCTCTCCCTGCTCTCGAGCTCTCGGGGCCCACCGCGGGCCCTGGAACGCGGTTCGGGACGAGAAGTTGGTCTCGAGGGGGGAGGTCCCAGGGTCCTGGGCTCGTGCCCCTCCGAACCCGCTTGCTTCAAGCCAAGTGTTGTTGCTGCTCAATCCTCCTGCTTGCCCAACCCTCTCTTTCCCGACCATCCTGTGATGTTCGGTCCTCGTCTTGAAAAGACGGCACCCCGCGTTCTCCTCCTCTCAGCTCTTCCTCCCCTTCCTCCCTCCTCCCGTCACCCCCCTCACCTTTGCCACACCCCTCACACGTTTCGTGGAGGTGCTCGAATAAGGCCCCTGTGGGGGTGCCCGCATGCGATCCCCCCACCCAGTGCCGCGCTTCGTGGCCACATAGAGAGCTCCACCGAAGGCCCATGTGGCAGAGTCCGCATGCGGTTCCACGCCCATTTCGGCACACCCCTCACACGTTTCGTGGCCCCATAGGGAGCTCCACCGAAGGCCCCAGTGGCAGGGTCCGCATGCGGTTCCCCGCCCATTTCGACCCACCCCTCACACGGTTCGTGGCCCCATGGGGAAGCCCATCGAATGATGGACCGAGAACGCGGTATCCACAATTGCTTCCGGTTGGGTGTTTCGTCAGGCATTCGATTGTGATTATTTCGTTTGCTTGACGTGGTGGTATCAGAGCGATTCGTTCCTCCTCTGAGTCGATCTCCCCACGTCTTTGCCTTGATGGTCGCACGCGGTGGCTATCCAGCGCCCACGAGCCCAGTGCCCGTCAGATCCACTGCCAGCCCCCCCCCCCTCCGCGCATGAGCCTTAACGCATCCCCAGGTCAAGCATAAGCTGCAACCACCTGTGCGAATCGACCGTGCTTCTGGCCCTTGCCCCGAGCTTCTGCAGCCAAGACCCTAAACCAAAGACCGCTTTGGGTTCGGGAGGGGCTCCGGTTTCCGGGCAGCTCCTTCGATCTGGGTCGGGGGCCTCATTCTAAGGGGAGGCGGTTTGCCTTGGCCCTCGTTCTGTATTCAGCGTTCTTTGTGGTAGTACGGTCAGGCCAGCCACAACTGGGGGAGCTGTGTTCCTTACCCCCCTGGGGGACCCATCGATTTCGACACCCCTCTCGAAAGATCGTCCATTCGATGGGTTCCCCCAGGGGGGAAGGACCACACCTCCCCCAGTTGTGGCTGGTCGGACGGTAGCCGAAGATGTTCAGCGCCCCGCTGCATTTTGAACATTGAAAGGCGCAGTGGCGGCGTGTGTACATAGCACCAGCCTCGGCTCTGCGCCCAGTGCCGCTGGCACAACAACCAGGGACACATCGTGCCGTGACCTTGCAGTTCAACCATTCTTTCGTGCAAGCCAGTGGCAGATCAAAGTGCTCTACCTTCCTTTTCCTTCCCTTCTCCTGCCCGCCCCCGATTAACAACTACTCAGTGCCACTACTTCTCTTCTCTCTCTCTCGAGGCTGGCCTGAGCGGCACGCAGCCCCCTCCGCGTTTTCTTTGTACACAGGAATGGTCCGAGGTGTTTTTCATACGTGTTCCCGCTGCAGCGTGGGCCTCATTTTAGGATCGGGGTTTTGCTCCTGTCGTTCGCACTGGCGCTCTCGCCCCAGCGCAGGCCCCCGTTTCTGGAACCACGTTCTTCATCGTTGTCCCCCCCTCTTTTCCCCTCCTCGCCTTCCCCTGGTCCTGCTGCTCCTGCTGCTCGTCCTTGTCCTCCTCTTTCCTCCTCCTCCTCATTTCCCTCATTCCCATCCTCCTGTTCATCCGCCATCTTCCCTTTCTACTTACGCAGCTCCCCCCTTGCTCGATTGCGCACAGCACGATGTTTGTCTGTTGGAGGTGCCAGGTCCACTGTGACACGCGCCCGCGGACAGAGAGACAATCAACGCAATGGGAAGGGATGGGTGGGAGGGGTAGGATGTCAGATACGGCGCGAGCGAACCCGGCTTGCCCCTTCCCCCCCTCTCTCCCCCCCCCCCTTCCTTTAGGCTCGTCCTCGTCCACTTCATCACCCTTCCCTCTCCCCCTTCTCCCGTGATCCTCCTCCGTTTGGGGAGTCGCCAGGGCAGAAGGTCTGGAAACTTCTGGGTCGTCGCCGCGGCTGCGGACGCCATCCTTGTAGACAAGTGACGTGGATGGGGCAGTCCAGGCTGGAAGTGTTCTCCTCCACCGTCATCCGCCTCCAGGAGGGGGAAGGGAGGGGAGAGTGACGAGAGGGGAACGATGGGGAGAACTTGGAGGGAAGGTGGGGGGGTCAGAGGGGGATCAAGAGCCCAGAGGCGAAAGAGGATGAAGAGGTAGCGGAGGCTGGTGATGTCTTGTTCAGGCCCCCCTTAGCGTCAGGGCCTTGTTACGGATATCCATGTTTCTTGGGGTGACCGCTGGGGAGGACTCTAGGTCCGCCTGCCTCTTCGGAATACTTTCGCTGGGGAGAGGGGCAAGCAGGTTCCCCCTGCTGCGCCGTCAATCCCAGCAGCCTCCATCCCTTCACAGCTTGAGCTCCTCTCTCCGAGGACGGTGCGCAGGGCGATATCCGCTACTTTATGTAGACCTTGGGTCTTGCTAGCTCGTGTCGGGGCCCCTAAACGGTGCGGTGACCACACTGTGTGGTGAGTCAGTGGGGTTCGGGGTGACTTCACGGCTTCGGGACCTGGGTCGTTCTGCGAAGATGTTGCGGGCAGTTGGGGTCTTCAAGGTCCCAGCATGGTGCGGTGACGCACCGTGCGGCGAGGTCTTCGCGGACTTCGAGGTCACCGCACGGTCTGTTACCGCACCGTTTCTGGGCCCCCCAAGCACGGAGTGGTGCCAGTGGCTCGGGGGGGGGGGGCACCTTCCCAGGGGAACAGCGACACGACCAGGAAGACTTGGAGGCCCGCGCGGATTGCTCGGATCGGCGCTGGACCCCCCCCCATTGCGCGCGGAGCAGAGCCACACACCTCCCTGGCCAAGCCAGGAGCGCGTAGGCACCGCTCGTGGGCCCAGGGTGGGCCGGGTCCGTGGCAGGGAGGAGGGAGGAGGAGGGAGGGAGGGAGGAGGGAGGAGGAGGAGGAGGGAGGAGGAGGAGGGAGGAGGGAGGAGGGAGAGGAGGAGGAGGAGGAGGAGGAGGAGGAGGAGGAGGAGGAGGAGGAGGAGGAGGTCCTGGGGGGCGACTCCACGCCCGACCGCCTGCTCTCGGGAGCCCCCAACCGCTGCGTCAGTGGGGATCCGGGGCCGCCACGCGGTTTTGGGGGCTCGGGCCGCTCTCCGAGGGCGTCTCGGGCGCCCAGGGGCCTCCGAGGTTCCAGAGGACCGTGCGGTGACGGACCGCGCGGGGAGGCCGCCGGGGATTCCGAGGTCACCGCGCGGTCCGCCACCACGGACCGCCCAGAGTGCCCTGGGCGCGCTCGCAGCTCGGGCGCTGGAGGGGGGGGATGACCAGGGCGGGGGGGGGATCTCATGGCAGGGGCCATGATATCTCCCCAGATTTCATGCCGCCTCTTCTTGTTTCAAGGCGTCCCTGGCACCCCCCCTGGGCCGCGCACATGCCGCCGGCCATGATTTGCAGCCCCCCCTTTCTCGGCCGCCCCCGAGATGTGGGGGGGCCATACGCATGGTCGGTACGATCGACATGGGTACTCGTAATCCCTTAATAAGCGACACCCTGAAAAAAACAGGACCCCCCCTCAAGTTGCAACTGAATTAACCGGACCCCCTTTCAACGCGGGGCCTTACTATGCCGGACCCCCCCTTTGCGGTCAACAATGAGTGCGGCGAGGGGCGATCGCGGACCGGTTCCAATTGCCAGTATCTCAATGATTGCAAAATGATATGGGTGACTACGGGAAGACCAGAGACAGCAATGATGATGACGAAGCCTTGCGGGGCAATGACGACGACGACGATTGTGACAGTGATGATGAAGATGAAGATGTATGACCGAGACATATGTGGTGATATTGACGGCGGCGGTGGTGATTGTGATGCCTATGGTGTTCATGATGGTGATGCCGACTGCGTTATTCGGTAAGTATTTCAGCGATGGATACGGCTGTCATGTCAACTACGAGAGAATGACGACGATGGCGATGATGATACGACACTGCATGCGAACAGTCGCATATGTTTGAGCAAAACAGCGAGTGTGCAAAGGCGCCTTAAAGAGCCAGACCCCCCCATTTCTTGTTTGAAGAAACCGCCCTAATAAGTCAGACCACCCCGCTTCCCCAAAAGGCGCCTTAAAACACAGGACCCGTGGGACGATTATTCAGGGTCTACGAAAACGCAAATAATGGGTACAAGACCGACAGCAGTTCCTCTTCGTTATCAGCAGGGCTCGCTGTCGGTGTCGCCGCGGACATTGTCCATTTGAGACAGAAGGCTGTCTGTCCAACAGCGGCCGCCGTTGGTTTTTGACGACGCCTGCAGTTGAGCATCGTGCCATTTTTTTTCCGTACACCACCTTTCGGACGTCCAGGGGGGGGGGGAGAAAGGTGCATTTTGTGTGCCCACATCAAGAGGCGCTAGAGTCTAGAAGGGCCGGTCCCAAAATGGACACGAAAGAGGCGAGTTTCTCCCCCCCCCCCCTCACCCGCATTTGTCGCCCCCCATCAAGCAACGCCTGAGCAGCAGTCCACTTGTTTCTGGGAGCACGGCCCCGATCCCGGCCTCTGGAGAGGGGGGAGGGACGGGACGAGAAGCGGCAGTGATATGGAGGAGAGGGAGTGGCGGGATAATTGAGGCGAAAGGTGGGGATGAGGGAGTCGAGGCGCTTCTGCTTACCATCGCGCGTCGGCTTCTCGCTTGCAGCTGCCGATTCCGCGCCGAGGCGGTGGCGCTCGCCAAGCTGATGCACCTCCTCGGCGAGTCCGACATGTCCAGCTTCGACCGAATCGTGATCGACACCGCTCCGACAGGACCGCGTGCCAGCCATCTCTCCAGTGGCATCTCTTGGGCACACGTTGACAGTCCAGCTGATCCATTGACCACAGCCATCGAGGAGCCAGTGCAGGCATCTGTGAACATTCGTCGTTCCACGTGTGGCCGTTGCGACAATGACGCAGGCTTTGCGAAAGAACATGGATGGAGGAGGGGGATGGGAAACGGAGTGAGAAAGGAAAAGGGGGGTAGAGGGGGAAGGGGGACTGAGGGGAAGGGAGAGACTGCCACCAACCCGACCACACATTTGCTACGCCAGGTGGAAGGGGGAGTGATGGGGAAGGGGGAATGCGGGGAAGGGACAGGTGTGTGTGGTCTGCGCGCAATTGCCACCACCCTGACCACCCAAGTGCTACGCCAGGTGGAAATTCGCCTAAACATGTCCCAGCTTAGCGCTTCGCGACGGTGCCGGAACCCCGTCGTTGGAGAATAAAGTGCGCGTGTATGTATGTGTGTGTGCGCGTGCATGTGTGTGTGTGTGTGCGTGTGTGTGTGTGTGTGTGTGTGTGTGTGTGTGTGTGTGTATGTGTGTGCGTGTGTGATGGCCTCAGGCACAGCAGCCAGGGTCCTCAGTTCTGCGCTCTGGGCCCGACTTCACGAGCATGTGTCCTCCAGATCCCTCTCCGAAGTCCCCCCCTCTTTGAATCGATTTCTCCGTTCTGATTTTGTCCATCCGTCCGTGGCCTGTCCTCCAGTCCACTTCCCTCCCTCTCCCGTTCTCTTCCCCCGCAACCCCGGACAGTTTTCACCTCCTCCCCCGTCGCCTTCCTCGACAACGACTTTCTCTTCGGTGCATCCCCGTCCTCATCCGCGCCGTCTGCCCATCGACGCCGTGATGCCAGCCCTGCGGCTCAGGACACACTCTGCGGCTGCTGTCCTTCCCACAGGAGACTCGCCGCCGCCGCGATGCTGCGCGGCCCTTGCTCCATTTGGTGTTTGACAGGGGAGTTCGTTCGGCTCAGGTGCCACGCTTTTCCAGCCAGCTGGTCCTGTCGCGGCGCCGGGGGACCGCATAGTTTCCCACAGGAGCGCATCGCGAGGGGCGTCGGCTGGCCACCTCGCCGATGCTGGCCGGGTCCATTCTGGGGGGCTCGGGATCGGCGCCCTCGCCCCCTCAGCCTGGGCAGGGAGTCTTAGAGACCGCTCCCAGGCCCAGGGCCAGCCCTGGCCAGCAACGGTGAGGTGGTCGGTTGATGGCCCCCGGAGCTTGAAGCTTCCGCAGTGGTTCTGCAAGTCGTGGCTCTGCATCGTCTCTGCAGTGCTCGATGCCGCCTGGAGGGCCCAGGAGGTTCGGATGCTTGGCATGAGCGTTCGGGGTATCGTGGGTCGCGGAGGCTTTTTGCTAGGTTGTGCACCAGTTCATTGATTGATTGAGTGCAGTCTCGTCTCATATATGTGTATATATATCTATATATATGTGCATGCGTCGTATGTTTGCTTATATACATATATGCATACATACATAGACATATCGGCGGCAAACGAGGGGGGAAGTGAGAAGGATCATACCTTCTCGGAAGGCGGCGAGGCTTATCAAAAGCCGTGCCGACTTCTGAGTTTTCTGGGAAGGCTCAGGACACTTCTTAGAAGGCCGGGGGACTTCCGAGCTTTCTGAGATGGCCTTCTCCGTCTCATGTCCCTTCTGGGCTCGCCGCCGAATAGATTTATATGCATATGCAGTTCGAGGTGGCAACTCCCATTAGCTAAGCATTCGATTGAGCTTTGATGGACGTTCGGCGTGTGGCTTCGGATGCCTCGCTAGCTGGCAGTGCGTCAGGCGTTTCGTCTCGTCCCCATCCGTGAGCAGGACGGTGCCATGCCAGAGGGAGGGGTCGGGTTGGCGAGGGGTTTCCGTGGCGTTCTCTCTGGCGGGAAGGAGTGTCGGATTCGGGTCCCACGAGGCCGGCTCCGCGCTGGGAGGGCAACGCCTGCCGGGAGCTGGAGCCTGAGGGCAGGCGGCACTTTCCTGGCCGAGCGGGCTTTGGAGAGTGGCCCCGCTTGTGCCCCGCCATGCCCCGAGGGAGCACCGATCGTGCAGGGGCTGGCCCCTCTGGGGCGGCGTAGCAGAGAAGTGACGAATCAGGAAGCATGTGGCTTCTCTGATGCTCGTTATCCTTGAGATCGCAGGGATCGGTCCTCTTTCTCCTCCTCCTCCTCCTATTTATCCTCCTCCTTTTCTTCCTCCTCCTCCTGCTTCTCCGCCCCGTCATCCTCCTTAGGAGGTTATGTGTACATATGTTCTGAGTGTTTTTTGTCTCATCCCGAGTCGCGGCGTAGCGGCTTGCCCGTCGAAGGACGATACGTTCACTGCGCTCGACGTGTTCCTGAAGTTGTCGTGGTGTGAGCGTCACCAGGGAAGTTTGGACTCGCATCTAAAGAAACGTCACGGAACCTTGGATGCAGTCTGGAGCCTCCAGCGTCTGGCTGTTCGTTCCAGGGTCTGCATGGCGTGCTCGAGAGTAGCAAGCTGCGCAACTCCTCGATTACATGGTCTGACAATCGTGCGCCCCACACACGTCGAGTCGAGATGCGTTTCATCTTGCTCAGCCGAGCATATTGAGCGGTATTGACTCGTTGCCTCTGACGCTGGGTTGCGAATGCCAGGGTTTTGTAAGTAAGGCCGCTCGTGAGGCCCTAGTGGTTCTGTTGCTCGTCTCCAGCAATTGTTGTGCCTGTGTGTCATTGTGGCCGTCAGCATCGACCGCGTGGTGAAATCATGCATCTGAAGCGTCGTATGCGTCCTCACATCCGTGGCCAGCGAGTGGCGCTCGTTGCCCAGCCCCGCAGTTTCTGCACGGGCTGATCGGGCTCCTCCTGTCCTTGAACGAGAAGGTGTTGGGATCCAATCCGCTTGGACGTATTCTAGGCGAACCATGTTGAGGGGGGCGAGCCTGTCTGTACAAGCGAGTGTCATGTGACCCCTGTGTTGACCCACCCCATGACCGCCGCAACCCTCTCCCTGCCCGTCTCAGTTGCTCCCAGATGGCCCTTCCACCTATTATGAGGGATCGATTTCTGGAACCCTTGCACCAATTTAGCGTCGACCTGAACTCGGCATGGATGCTGCCGCCTTTGAGCACAACCACCGCAACTCCGCAATTACTGCGACCGTGTGGCAAACTGCGACAGCCTTGTATGAGAAATGAATGCACGTTCATTTCTCGAGTGGACTTCGGCGCATTTCGCCGTCGTGCGACTGTTTTGGACAACAGGCCTCTTGGATATTCCTTGGGGCCTCCTGGGGGCCTCGTGGTGGCCCCTTGGAGACCTCTTGGGGTCATCTCGGGTGGCTCTTTGACGCCTCCTGGGGGCCTCTCGGGAGCTTCCGCTGGCCTCCTGTGGGTCTTTTGGGGCATGTTGGCGGTCTCGGGCGCCATCCGTGGTTCGAGGGCTCCAATTGTCAGGCCGAGTTCCGCTCCCCGTCTTGGGGGTGTTTCTTGATTCTGTTTGTTCTGAGGGGTTTCGGGAGCCTTCTTGGAGCGATCTCGGGAGCCTGTTGGGCCGTCTTGAACGCTCTTTCTATTCACGAGCTGCGAGTGTCGAACGCTCCGTGAGGGATGCCGTGTCCCCGAGATCGGTTGCTCATCATAGTTCCCCCCCCATCGTTGCCCCCCCATAGTTGCCCCCCATCATAATCGCTCCCCATCGTTGCCCCCTGGCGGTGCTCTTCCTCGATGCTCCCATACGTTGCCTCCCATCGTTGTTCCCCACCGCTGCTTCCCATCGTTGCCTCCCATCGTTGCCTCCCCATCGTTGCCCCCCATCGTTGCCCCCCTCGATGCTTCCACTCGTTGCCTCCCATCTGTGTTCCCCATCGTTGCTTCCCATCGTTAACTCCCATCGTTGTTCCCCCACCGTTGTCCTCCATCGTTGTCCCTCATCGTTTCCCCCTATCGTTTCCCCCCATCGTGGCCGCTTCATAGTGCTCTCTCTAGTGCAGGATGTGTTATTCAAGAGACTTATGCCCCTCCGCCAGCCCCCAGAAGAGGTGTGGGTGGAGATGGAGATGGAGGTGGCGGAGGAGATGAAGGGGACGGAGGAGATGGAGAGGACGGAGGAGATGGAGCAGCCAGAGGATGAGGACGAGGTTGGGGAGGAGGACGAGGAAGAGGACGAGGAGGAGGAGGGGGAGGAGGAGGAGGAGGAGGAGGAGGAGGAGGAGGAGGAGGACGGCGACCATCCGATCATAGTCCATGAGAGCTAGAAGAGGAGCGATAGAAGCAGGAGGATGAGGAGGATGAATATGATGATAACGAGGATGCAGTTGTTGTTGATGCTGATGAGGCTGATGCAGCTGATGCTGATGCTGATACTGAGGCTGAGGCTGATGCTGATGCTGATGCTGATAATGCTGATGATGATGCTGCTGATAGTGATGATGCTGCTGCTGATGATGCTGATGCTGATGCTGATGTTGATACTGGTCATGATGATAATGATGACGACGATGGTGATACTGATGATGTTGGTGATGATGACGATGATGGTGATGCTGATAATGATGATGCTGATGATGATGATGATGATGATGGTGATGATCAAGATGATGATGATGATGATGATGATGATGATGATGATGATGATGATTATGATGATGATGCCGATGATGATGATGAGGATGATGATGATCAGGATGCTGATGATGATGATGATGCTAATGCGGCGGATGATGATGATGCTGATGATGCTGATGATGATGATGATGATGATACTGATGATGATGATGATGATGATGCTGATGATGATGATGATGATGATGATGATGACGATGATGATGATGATGATGATGATGATGATGATGATGATGATGAGGATGAGGATGATGATGATGATGATGAGGATGATGAGGATGATGATGATGATGATGATGATGATGATGATGATCAGGATGAGGCTGAAGATGATGAGGAGGTGGAGGTCCAGGACAAGGACGATGAGGAAGAGAAGAAGCAGGAGGAGGAGGAGGAGGAGGAGGAGGAGGATAAGATGGAGGGCCATGGCGAGGAGGAGCAGGAGGAGGAGAAGGAGGAGGAGGAGGAGCAGAAGGATATTGAGGGGACGAGCGGGATGGAGGAGCGGGAGGAGGAGGAGAAGGAGGAGGAGGAGGAGCAGGAGGAAGAGAAGGAGATGGAAGAGATGCAGAACGAGGTGGAGGAGGTGAAGTTGATGGAGGTGACGGAGGAGCAGAGGCAGAAGTAGCAGGCGGACGAGGAGGACGAGAAGGAGGAGGACGTGGAAGAGAAGGAGGAGCAGGAGCACGAGGAGGAGGAGGAGGATCTGGAGTCGAAGCCGGAGTAGGAGGAGGATATGGATGATATGGAGCAGATCAAGGATGAGAGGGAGGAGGAGGAGGAGGAGGAGGAGGAGGAGGAGGAGGCGGAGGATTCCATGGATTCCAGCATTCGGGGGATTCACGAGTGCGAGCTCGGGCCCACGGGATCAAACGAAGTTCAGGGAGCGGGGAAGGCCAAGCCGTACTTGGGGGGCTTGCCTTCTGCCAGCCGCTCAAGATTGCGCCTGCCAGTTGCCGACGGCCTTCGTCTGGCTGTAGCCGGCGACTCGGCTGTAGCCGGCGACTCGGTTAGACAAGGTTTGGCCAGCTTCTGAACAGTGTTGGCAGCAAAGCACCCGCAGGAGCGACAGTACAGTATACCTTTGAAATCAGCCAGGACGTGCGTCGGGTGCGCACGCGAGAAACATGGATGTCCGTTCGGGTTTCCTTGGGACGAAGGGCCAGGGGAGGTCGAGGAGCCCAACCTGCAAGACGACGAGGACCCCAACACCAGCGCCCCAGGACACGGACCAGGCCAGAATTTGGCCAGCTCCCCACGGACAGCGGGAAACTTACAGAGGCATCGCGAGCACTTGAAAGACCCAGCAACTTTGGACACATCATGGCCCTGCTCACGCAATCTCCCTCGGCGGATGTTGCTCGAACAGGGCCCTCCCTCTTTGTGGTGCTCTCTACCAAGGCGGTCCTCGCGCATCCTAGGGCACGTGAGCGCTACGTGCCTGGAGACAGCGAGGAGGCGCCTAACAACATTTAAACAATTTTCGTCAACATTATAGATTTCCCGCACCTTATCAGCAGGGAGGGCCCCCCACTTGGCAGCTTCCCCCGCGAAGAAATCGGCAACGCCATTGGCTACTAATCCCTGGGGGGTCAGGCGGTGGGCGGAGACCTGCTTGAAGGTGGCGTGGCTCTTGCACCAGCGGACGTCCAGCCGGCCACCTCTGTCGCCGAGCTGGTCCCAGACCTGCTGCCACAAGTCCAGCATGCACGAGTGATCTACATCGACGTTCATCCGCGCAAAAGCGCGAGCAATCGGCAGGAAGTCGGTGTACAGCACCGCGTCACCTATAACCATTTGCAACAACTTGATTATGGCATACAGCTCTGCTCGGGGAGAGCTCTGTTCCGCACCGGGGAGGGTTCCACATCACACGCCAGCCACCTCTAGGGACCCTGGATGGAGGTGAACAACAGACCACCCGCATCTCCTCAACCTCCAGTCCTTCGCATGTTCTCCTCCAGAACCGTCACTCCCGAAAATCCCTCCGTGAATGAGGATACCTTCACGGAGCGCCTCATGAAAAGATCCCCAGGCCCAGACTTTCGTCTCCACGGGAGGCAACACTCCTACCGTCCAGCCTAGAGGAACGAGCCCACGGGTCCAGAAGCACTCCGACTCAGGCTCACCATCGAAGGAATCTTGATACATATGGCTGGTGAGGTGTATGTGGTCATCATCAATGTTGGCATTATCTTGACAGCCCCAATGCCTGTGCCAAGGTGTTTCCTGGCAAACTCCACAACGAGGGCACACGCCGTGGCTGAGATAGCCACTGTCCTTGAGGCGCTGCTCAGGCCACTGGCCGCCAGAAGCGAGGTGGTTCAAAATAGCCACGCCGTCGAAGTCGCCCTGCCGAGAAAGGGCTCTCCGCAGCCTTCGCAATACAGTAAAATCAACACCTTCATGCAAGCCCTGCCCCCCGTAAGCTTCGGAGGCTTGGGCCCAAACCATGCGGCCCACCTGTTTTTCGACCACCTTCCACAAGAAGTATGGGAAATCACGCCGACCAACACGGAGGGTAACATCAGAAAATCTCCAGGTGTGGGGCTCCAGCGGGTTCCCATTGAGCTCCAAGACACACATCATGACGGACGCGATGGGGCCCCGAACGCGGCGCCATCGGTGAGCTTGTGGGACACCACGCAGCTCCGCTAACAATTTGGGCCATACTCTGTTGATGCTAGAGAGCTGACTAGGGTCAAGGGCTTTCAACGTCCGGCTCCATTCCAAGAGGTGTTCATAGCGCAACTTATACGCTGGGTCATCAGACATAGCATGATCAAGAGCAAGTATGGTAGTTGTACAACAACCAGCATGCCATCGGCCTGTCGCTTTAGCCGCCTGGGCACGAAGTTGACGCATGTGCGAGGGTGGTGTGCCGAGGACTTGATGGCCCCACGTGCCAACGGCAACCACGCCTGGTTTAAACAACTTGCGCGCACGAGGGTTGACATGGGCCAGAAACGTGAGTTTTTTACTGCGACGCTTTGCCTCCTCCTTCCGCTGCCCCATCTTCCACATAGTCCTCCTCCTCCCAGCCGTGGTCCCGACTCCCAGATCCTTCACGGAATCAACAACTTTAAGCGGAACGCTCAACTCATCACAGAGAGCTTGAACAGGCCGGCCAATTTTCAGAGAAGAAGCGACAACGCATGACTTCGACGCAATCTTACACCCACGACGTATCAATAGATCACGAAGTTCGCGAGCAGCTGGCACCAGCTTAGACACGATATCCTGCACGGAGCCCTGGATGCACTGGTCAAGGTCGTCCACATACGCCGAAATCGGAACTCTAGGGATTCGGCAATGCGCCGCCTCCAAGATGTCATAGAGATAACATTTGATCCATGCCAGGGACTGGGAACACCCAGCCAAAATAGACTGCCCTGCCTGCATCACCCCCGACACCAGGGACTGGACCTCGAGGAGCATCGGAGAGGTGTGGATCAGGAGGCCCAGGTACAGGAGGAGGGAGGAGTAGTCGACAGCCTGAGCCAAATCGATTAGCCGACTTGGATCTATGGTGTCAAAGAACTTCTCCATATCCCAATGCCCCGAAACCGAAAAGACCCCCTCCTCACGAGCACACTCGTGCAAGACCTCACGAAGCATGGCGGCGCGCAGGGCCGACGAGTTTTTCACAGCCGCATCCCAAAAGGCGACGTGGGAATCGGTCCAATCCTGGATTTTGTGCCCGTGGATGCGGGTGTACAACCGGTACAGGGTGGGGCATTTAGTGACGGGTCTCTCAGAAGTCGCCGTTTTGGGCAGAAGAGCAACCAGACAGAGATAAACCTGCTGGGGGGAATTCAAGGGCATACTCAATGCCATTGAAAATGGCAGCCAGGTGCTCCAGGGCCTCGCCGGGAAGCCGCACCAGATCACGAGGGGACCACCCATCCACTCCAAGGGCCGTGTCGGCCGCGAAATACTTACAAGCCGTGAGCACATCTTGGCCTTCAATGCCGCGAGCCTCAAGCGCCTCCAGCTCAGCAACAGGCCGAAGGCGCTGCATGGCATACTCAAGATCGCCGACCTGCCTACTAGTCGGCGTCCACCACGAAGCCCAGAAGTGCTCACGATAACTCATCAACTCTTGGGGGGTTTGGGCAACAAGAGTGGGACAAACAAACATCTCAATCTCCTTTCTGGTGTCAGACCGTAACCAACGGTGCACCATTTCAGCTCCCCCCGCGAGGCCCTTGGAGAGCCAAGCCTGGATCCCGACACGATTAGCTTTTCGAGCTGCAGTCCACGCGCGACGAAGGACGGGGACGAGAGAGCCCTGGATGACCTCAAGCTGCTGGGGGTCACCTGGGAGATCTTGCAACCACCTGGTCCAGACCGCGACTTGCCGTGCATCGGCAAGACCTTCAAGGTGGCGACCCACCTCATCACCGCGCGCTCGAAGGAGAGTCCTGAGAGCGGTGACCTGGGTGGTGCCTCCTTGCTTCAAGGCAACAGCAAAATCGTACAGGCGGGACGATACTATCGTCCAAAGAGCCAGGCAGGGATGGGAAAAACCTTGTTTCATCACTCCTCGTTTAGGAAGGGTCTGCTCCTGCACAACTACTGCTCTGCCCCTGCGCCCCCCTGGCGACGGCCAGGTGTGGAGGGAGCGGGAGCAAAACAGCATTTCCGCAGCCCTCTGATAGGCTTCCGAAAGTCCTTGCGAGTGTCGTGGCCAGTGAAACTCGAGAAAAGCTCCGCGGACTTGGCGAGGTATCTCCACAACTTGCTCGCCGGCACGGTTGACAAAATCATTCCAACGCTCATCAGGCCCAGGGTGGGCCCCGATAGGTATTGGCCTATCTCGCTTCATCACTGTGTTGCGGAGTACATCAAGCGGCATCTGCATGTGCACGCAGGCGTGCGTCTTAAAAGCGGAGCTCCAATCCGCATCAATTGTGAGGTCTGGGCGAATGTCTCGCGACACGACAGCATAATCAATTAGGCGGCCAGCGCCTTTATCACAGGTGAAGTCGGTGTTGCGGGGCTCCACTGACACCGGAGACAACCTCACAAAATCCACACTGGTGCAACTCCAGGGGCTCCATGTTGAAATCTCCCAGGAGGATCCACGGGCACTCAAGCATCCCCAAGAACTCAACTACTTCATGGAGACGGTCAAGGTTTGTCCCCGAAGCTCCGATCCCAGTGACCAAGTAAATAACCCCAAGAGCAAGCGTACAACTCTGCGTTTTCATTTCCAGGAAAAACCAGGAGGCGGAGGAGGAGGAGGAGGAGGAGGAGGAGCAGAAGGAGGAGCAGGAGTAGCAGGAGGAGCAGCAGCAGGCGTTGGGGGTTGGTGGGGCGGTCCTGGGCAGGCTCCGTCATAGGCGACGACTTCCAGCGGCAGCTCGAGGCCGCGCTGCTTGCCCGCCCCACCCCCACCTCCCACGGAGTGACATCGGCGGGGACGCGGCTCCCCTGCTCCACGGAGATCTTCCTCCTCCTTCCCTGGGCTGCCCTCTCACTTTCCTCCGCGCGAGGGGGAGGAGGCCAAGGCTGAGGACGGGATGGAGAAGGAGGATGAGGAGGAGGAGGAGGAGGAGTTTCTAGGATCGAGCGGCCCCATCCACACTCATATGGAGTTAGGGTAGACGAGTGGGCGAACGTACCCCGTGACGTACAGAGGGGCGTCATAGATAGCAGCGGTGTCGTGACAGCTTGAGTGAAGATCGGCCCATCTTCTGTCACCGAGGGACCGAGTCGTTACTGCCGCTCTCCCTGCCTGTCTTTTACGCGAGCTTGCGCGCGCGTTCCCGCGCGTCATGCTCAAGGCAACAGTTGCGAGACTGGGACGCTGGAGCATCTTGGCGGCAAATGGTGCGCGCGCCTCTCTCCCAGCGCGCGCGAGTCATAGGCCATTCTCGCCTCGACCTGACATAACTACCCATCGGTCGTTTATTTGCAGCGCCTTCCTACTTCAATGATCGAGTGGCTTCACCTTTCCCGTCCTCCTGTAGGGGACGCCTTCCTTCTTCATGCTTCTGCCGACTTCTTCCGGCCGATGGGTATGCAGCCATGTCGCGTGATTTCGTGGCGGGACCATGCGTCGACAATATCGTGGAGAAGGAAGTTCCTGAGCTAGGATGCCAGAGGGAGGACAATGCTCGAATGCCAGAAGCTAAGGAACACCTGGCAGATCACTGACCGCGTCGCTGGCTATCACGCCCTCGTCGCCCCAAGGCCCATCATGGATCCGATCGGATCCAGGCTCGGGCTGGCATACCTGAGCAGGGGGGGCGAACAAGCAAAAACAGTGGTCATGCTGAAGCAGTGGCAGTGGTCCAACGAGGATATCGATTAAAGGCCGGCGCGTGGCAAAGAGGTGGAGGTGGAGGAGATCTTGGAGGATGAAGAGAAGGAAGAAGGAGGAGGAGGAGGAACACCCTTTCCCTTCCCCTCCCGATACCATCTTGTATGTTCTGGATGCATCTCAGGCGCGTTGGAGCCCTTCCCGAGCCCTCCCTCTCTCGTTGTCAGTCTCGTTTTTTTGTTATTGTCTCTTTCTCTCTCTCTCTCTCTTTCTGCCTCCTCTCTCTCCATCTCTCCCTCTAGATGTGTATGCATCTCCTTGCTTCTCTGTTTCGTTTCTTCTCTCTCCCTCTCTTGTTTGTGTTATTCAAATCCCGTCGTCGTCGTCCTCCCTCGCCTCATCATCGCTCCCACGTTTTCGCCCTCCCCCTCGTTTTGACTAAACACCTGGCTGCGGACGCCGACGTCCCTCCTCGATCTGGTATTCCTTCTTCTGGCAGCCAGCAGCCTCCGACGATGATGTATAGTACGGTCGGACCGATGTATAAGATCGAGATCGGTTCGGGGAGGGCAACCTTGTTCTTCGTGCTTGTTGGATGTTCTTGTGCATTCTGGGGGAAGGTGCCCTCCAGTGTTCTTCAGTTTGGCTGGCGGAGGGTCTCATGTGTTTAAATGATGTTGTTGTATTCTAGGTCCAGCCGTACTTGGGCATGCGAGAGGGTGGTCGGGGCGGAGACATGTCTTGTCCGCGCTGGAACATCTCACAATTTTACTTGTCGTTTCCGCCATCTTTCCGCTGATGTTATCGTCGCCCTCAGGCTGTTTGCATCACTCGGGGCTAGCAGTCACATCACGGTGTAGCCCGAGGCTAGCCCTTGGATACGATTCCAACATGTGTTGCACTAGCATGTCCATCTTAGTGGTCGAAGCTTCCGTGACGTCGGCTGATTATCGGTTTGCCCAAGCCGCCAGAGGTTAGCAAAGCCAATCTGGAGCGCTTTATGGTGGCCATGGCTTCCTTGAGCGAGGCGCGGCGTAGCATGCCTCCAGACGGCTCATGTCGAACATCTTCCCATTGCTATGGTTTGCCTCGTGTTGCTATCGTTATCGCTGGTCGATTTGCGCCTGTCCTGCCTCTAATGTTAGCTATTTTTGTTAATGCCTTTCTCTGCGAAACTTACTCTTGTCTGTTTCGCGTTGTCTGAGTTGGAGGCTGAACAAGAGGAGGAGAAGGAGGAGGAGGACGAGGACGAGGCTGAGGAGGAATAACAGTTTTGTCCTGCACGCTCCGTTTCGCGCCCCCCGTGGATCGTGGCCTACAGGCCGCCCCCCAACAGTGCTCGTACCATCGGGGAAGGCAAAGCCCCTCAGGCCACACTTTTTTCGTCGGCGGCTGGGCAGAGTCACTGCGCTGGCGAGGCAGCGAGACGGGGCTGCCGTTCAGCGAATCGTGCCACAATGTACGAGGGGGGGGGGGGGGAGGAGACAACGAGGCGGCGGCCGAAGAGAAGCCGTCCAGCCACACGCCCCACTCCTCCCCGCGGCGGCGCCTCCGAAGTCCCTCGCAGGGCGCGAGCTCGGCCGCCCTGGCGCCCTCGCCGAGCCCGCTGGCCCCCCCGCCCCCGCGTGCGTCCGCCGGCCCGGCCCTCCGCCTCGGGCCGCGGGGCCTCGGGGGCTCCTTGCCCGCCCGGCGGCCTCTCCCGCCCCTCGCGGCCTCCCCGGCGCCTCGTGTCCTCGGCCTCCAGGGGCCCCTGCTCGGGGGCGGCAAAGAGGGGGGTGATGACTAGGGGGGGGGGGGATATCACGGCCTGGGCCATGATAGTTCCCCAGATTTCATCGCGCCCCTTTTTACCTCATTACCTTCCTGGCCCCCCCGCTGGGCCGCGCACATGCCGCCGGTCATGATTTGCACCCCCCCCCTCTTGGACACCCCCCTCTTGGCCGCTCCCGAACTGCGGCCGCTTCTGGCCCCTCAGACCACGGTGGGAGCTCCGTGGCCGCCACTCTGCCGGCGGCGCCCTCCGCCATGCCCCTCGAGTCTCTCGAGGCCTCCCAGACGGGGTCGGAGTCGATGGGGTCGGAGGGTCGCGCCGCATCGCCGATGCATCGACGATGCGGCCCGATGTGGAGACCGTGTTTCCCCACGCCGACGGCGCCGATGAATCGCAGGTGCATCGCCGACGCATCGGTGATACATTGGCGATGCGGCGCGATCTTTCGGCCCCTATCTACTCGGACCCCATCTAGGAGGTCTCTAGTCTCACAGGTAGCCTGGAACGCGTCACTGTTCCAGCGCCCCCACAGGTGCACGAGCAAGGTGTCCTTGAACTCCGCGTGCAGGGCGAACGCGCCGCCGATCCTCAGGCTGTGGGAGCCAAGGTCGTTGGGATCGGCTCCCTCCATGACTGCCGCCTGCATGACCACCCTCTGAACGTCCGCCCGGGTGACGAGCCTATCGTCGTCGATGGCAAAGAGCGGGTCGTACATCCTCGGGCCCGAGAAGCTCTCGCTTGCCCACCCTCCGGAGATGGTCAGCGCCTTTACGACGTTTAGATACGCGTCCGCCTCCGCCCCGGCTGCCGCCTCGACTCTGAAGTGGTTGCGCCTTTCACCGCGGTTATCTTGGTTCGTCTTGCTGGCCTGGATCTTGATCTCTACCTCGTCCGCGGCGGGCCAGCTCCTGCACGGCTCGCCCACGGTCCTTGGTGTGACGTCCTTTCCCCTCAGGCCCTTGCTGCCCGTGGAGCCGTTCTGGTCGCCTGACACGTCCTCGCTGGCCCGCAGGAGTAAAAAGTAGCCTGTCGGCACCGCCGCCCACAGGTCTGCACCCTCTGGGGACTTCTCTGGCTGCCGCTTCTTCTCGGCGGCCAGAGAAGTCGCCAGAGGGTGGCACCCTCTGGCGTCTGGCTCCCTCTGGGGACTTCTCTGGCACCCTCTGGGGACTTCTCTGGCGTCACCGGCCACTTCCTCTGCGGAGCCCCGTCACGCCTCCGGAGGCCATCGATGGCCATCCAGAGCGTCCCCGCGCCCGCGGTCAGGTCCGCGGAGCCCGGGGCCAGGTGCTGGGCCCAGATCGCGCTGAGGCACTGCTTGATGACGCCCACCTGTTGCCCGCGCCTTGCGAGGTGCACGACGAACTCCAGCATCAGCTCCTCCTCATCCTCCTTGTCGGCCATGGTCACCTCCCTCAGAGGACTGATACCACGGGAGCGGCAAAAGAGGGCCCACCACCGCAAGCCAAGACTGTAGGACTTGAGCGTGGAGCTCGCTTGCTTGTCCAGGATATGCTCCAGCTTGGCCCTCTCCCAGTCCTCTCGGGTCTTGAAGTCCGTCAGGATCAGGTCTTCCGGCTTCGCTTTAGTCGCGAAGCCCTCTGGGTCGAGCAGGTTCGGCGGAGCCGCTACCTGCACCCCCCTACCTCCTCCTCGCTTCTGATAGGTGTTGGCGCCCGCCTTCCTGGCCTCCGCCTCCTCGGGCATGAGGGGCTCCAGGGCCCAGTCGAACTTGACACGCATGGTGGGTATTTTGTACTTAATTCGAACTGCAGGGCAGCTGAGCTGGTAAGCACATCCATCGCATTTAGAATCATCAAGCGCCTTCGTCTCTGACTCCAGAGGTCTGAACTCGGTCTGCTAGCCGAGCTAGATCTGCAAATCTGTAACTCGTAGAGCTTCCCTTAGCTAGTTATACCTGGAAGCTAAGAGTAATTCCGGCGCGCCCCAGAGCTAGTTGGCAAGAAAAATCTCGACGGAACTTTTGATGACTTTTGCTCGGTTGAAAATTTTGTTCTCGAAATTTGACAATTCGTTAGAGCTCTAGTATTTTTTCCCGTGATATTCGATCTTATTCCCGCTCGCCATCTTGATCTCAGCTCGATCGGGTAACTTTGAAGGCCAAAAAGCACTCTGGCGGGAACGGCCGTTTCGAGTCATCTTGATACGCGCTGTCGGTTTTCTGAACATAACTCGAGCTCTAGGGCAGCTACAAAGCTGGTAAGCACAGCTTATGCATGCAGAATGATCAAGCGCGTTCGCCTGTTGAACCCAGAGGTCTGAACTCGGTCTGTGAGCCGACCTAGGTCCGGAAACCTGTTCGTATTATTCGAGTCATCTTGACAGACACTCTCGGTTTTCTGGTCTTAACTCGAGCTGTAAGACAGCTACAGAGCTGGCAAACTATCGCAGTCAGAATCATTAGGCGCGCTTGCCTGTTAAATCTAGAGGTCTGAACTCGGTCTGCTAGCCGAGCTAGGTCCGCAAACCTATTCGTATTATTTGGGTCATCTTGATAGGTGCCCTCGGTTTTCTGCACTCAACTCGAGCCGTAGGGCAGCTACAGAGCTCGTACTCACAAAAATCAATTGGAAATCACCAGGCGCCTTTGTTCGTTCACTCGAGAGCACTGAACTTGGCCTGCTGCCCGAGCTAGGTTCGCAAAACTATTCGTATTGTTCGAGTCATCCTGTTAGCCCCAGATGGCCACCAGCTTCTCAAGCTGCTCCTGCGCCTCGTGCTGCTCCTGCGATCCGCTCCTCGCCGCGCATCGCGAGCATCTGCATTTGCGGCAGGGTGCTCGATGATGCCACACTGGCGCTCCCCGTCCTCCTCATCGTGCCGTTCTACCGTGAGAACGCCCACGGGTCGATGCTATCCGAGCCTTCTGACCCACTTGCAGCTGCGCCTGCTGGCGGGCGCAGTTGGGACCCCCTCCAGCATTTCGAGGTAGGCCGCCTTCGCCATCCTTGCCTCAGCCTTCCGCCGCTCCTCAGCAGCGTGCTCGTCATCGCGGACCTCCGAGCTGGGGGACACAGCACTTCCCCCGCCCTCGTCCCCCACCTCATGGCTCTGGGTGGGGGACGTCCTCGGGCTCGTCCTGCTCGACCCCTCGCCCCAGTCTGCCTCGTCGGGCACCGGCAGTGGTGACCGACCCGGAGACGCGGCGCCTCCCCTACCTGTACGGCGGGGAGCGCCTTCAGTGCTCCCCGCTCGGCTCTGCCACCTCCTGGCGTCGGCAGAGGCTGATGGGCCGATTTCCCACCACCACTACCATAGACAGGAGGAGGAGGAGGAGGAGGAGGAGGAGGAGGAGGACCCCCCACTCCTCCCTTCTCCCCCGTCCTACCTGTGGAAGTGGTGGTGGAAAATTGGCCCGTCAGAGGCTCTGAACCTGGTCGGCTCCTACTACCTGGTGGCAGGGGCCGTCTCGGCGGCGACCTTCGCCTCTCCGCGCTGCGTGCTGCCCTGGCCCGCGCTGGCAGCCGCTTGTTCCTTCGCCTCTCGGTCTCCCTGGCCCTGTCCTCCTGCAGGGCCCTCGCCACCACTTCGATGAGGAGCGCGCCCTCCATCGAAGAGGAAACAACGCCATAAACAGAAACTATTGGCGCTTCGCGCGGATTTCTTGGATCTGTGCTGGAGCGCCCTGGCGGCGCCTCCAGCGCCGCCCCTGGCGCGCTCCGCGCGCCAGGGAAGGGGGTCCAGCGCGGATCCAAGAAATCCGCGCGGAGCGTTAAAAGTGTATGTTTATGGAATTCTTTTCATCTTCGACTCCACTGGAGAGTCTGGGGCCTGGCCAGCGGTCTCAGGCGCATCCTCAGTCATCTCGACCCGAATGCGATCGGTCATACCGGCCCCAGGGACTCGCCGGCGTCCGTCTCCGGCAGAACCCTGCCCCGCCCGCCGATGGATGTAGCTTGATCTGGTCGAAGCCCAGGTTTCTGGCAAAATTTGCCCATGATCGTGCCGAGTTTCGTCTAGGGTGAGATCCGGCACTCGGGCTCGGCGTCCCTCCCCTCTCCCAACGCATCGCGTGCGACCCAGGTGAGCGACGCAAAGAACCGGGGTCGTCGGCGCCGACATTGGCGCGTAAGCTGCCCGCGTAAGGTCGCGCGTAAGCGCCTTCTTCTCCAAAGTAGCGTGCCGCGTTGGCGACCTCAGCCACCGCGTAAGTTCGCTACGTCATCTCGCGTAAGACCCGATGTCGATCGTCGCTCAGGTGGGGATGTGGTCCACGTTCACGTTCACGCCGTACC